GACAGATATCAAACCATGAATGAGGCTTTTAAGTTGAAGTATATCAACAGCATACTGGATATGTAGGGTACAATTACCCTTTATTCCTCACTGAATGTGGCACCAGCGAACAAGAAAAAGGGGGTTTTCTCCTCTCTGTTTGAATTGTACTGTATCTCAGCCCTGTGCGATTCTTCGTGTTGCTTATATTGTGGAACATTTGAACAAAATCACTGTTTTACAGCAATGGTGGACTGAAGAGTTTAGGAAAATAGGACAGGCACTATGAAGCTCTGGGATGGTTTCTTTCTCAGTACGGGCTTCTCTCTCGCCACCTTCCTGCACAGACCGGTATTACACATGGTTTTGTTATCGCTGCTTGATGCAGCTTTATTACACTGGGTTACGTGGCTCATTCAGACAGGTTGCTTGTGTCTCAGTAGTTTTCCTTCTAGCCCCCCTGATGTGTTCTGAATGACAGATTTTTCTAAGCAGTGTCTGATGCAGTCTGATGCAGTCTGATGCACCTTACACTTTTTTACTATTAAGCTATCAATGCTCACTGAGATCTTATAAGCTTATTTTAAACCCGTTGCTTCTCTTAAAATTCCCATAACAATCCCAAACTGGGGGCAGCATGGTGATGCAATGGTTAGCACTGTTGCCTCATGCCTCTGAGATGAGGGTTCAGCTGTCTGCCATGGCCCCATGTATGTGGAGTTTGCATGTTCACTGTGTGACATCAAGGGGTTTCATCAGGGAACTCGAGCCCCCCCCCCCCCAATATGAAACATGCTGAGGTTAGTTGGAGTTGCCAGATTGTCTGTAGATGTGAGTGTGTCCTGTGATGGATTGGTGACTCGCCCTCGAATGTCCCCCCCCCCCGCCCCCATGATCCTGAATACGACAAGTAGTTTCAGGAAATGGATAGATGGACCCCCAAATTGCTTTTACATCTTCATTTCTCCCTGCCTTGTGCCCTTCGTTTTCTAGGAAGACCCCTGGCTCACCACGCCCTTATATGGAAGATGGATGATGCTGATTTAAACTGCTTTTATGCAGAAAACATTGGGCAGCATGGGGTCACAACCACCGTTTCAATTGTTCAGTGATGCAAGGCCATATAATCTAGAGATAATGGACATTCATACTTCACACATACAAGAGAAACTCTGTTTTAGTTAAGGGCATCAGGACCCAATGGATGCCATTATTGGTTGTCATTTTTATCATGGTTGTCATAGGTAGTCCTAGAAAATCTGCCCATGTATTTTTTGTCACATAGTGTCTCAGGAGCAGCAATAGGTGCTTAAACAATCAAATGATGACAAAACCACCTCAGAATGCTATTGTTTCGAAAACAATTTCAGAGCTGGCTTTCAGAAGAGCTGTCAGTCTAGATTCTATGCCAAAGAAAGTCAGGGTCACATTAAAATGTAAAGTGGAGTTCTTTAATTTCAAGCATTTAATAAGTGCTGTGCCCAAGTAATCAATGGAGAACTAATTCCAGCTTTCAGAACTAGATTGGATGCAAAAGGAAGATCCTGACCTGAAAATTCCAAAGCATGAAGAGAATGGACACAATCTCAGTTGAACTAGGAAGTCGAGGGCATTATAAGCAAGTTATGAACTCCTTGGTAATGAAGATGGTTTGAGCTACATTCCACAGGAGTCAGCTGGAGGTCGGCCACATTCTTCTTCGTCCGTGTCCGTTAGCAGAGGCCCTTCCCTCTGTTTTTTGGGTGCACCCCTGTCTGGTGCCCTATGCTGCCTGGGATAGGCTCTAGGTCATGGTGACCCTGTCCGGGACTGGTGGTTGGAAGCTGGATAGCTGGATAAATGACCTGAAATAAGCAAATAGGGAGTATGCCAACACACTTAGAATGATTAAGATCCAAACCCTTGGATGAAAATGAAAAACATTTGAAAACATTCACATAGGCATGTGTGTCAGAATGGCTGAGTGGTCTACAGCTGTTGTCTCTCCCAAGGTGGTGGGGCTTCTGGTCTCTGAATAGAGGCGTGGGTTCAAATCCCACTTCTGACATGTTATTTTGGGGGTGATGTCTGACCCTGCAGGTTACTGCCTGACTCTGCTTCTTGATTCATCCATCACAACACTGGATGAAGGATAACTGAATTCTGTTTGTGATGCGCAGCATTTTCAAGATAAGTTTCAGATTTTTTAGGCTTTGTCCACATGTACATGTAATGTTTTTGAAAACTGTGTTTTTCCTTCTCTGTTATTAAAAAAAATCTCCATCCCCTAATGTTGTAGTGCTTGAGATTGGTCTTGATCTTGAGACCAGTCTTGAAACCACTTTTTAGCAGTCTTGTTAAATAACTTCAACAAGTTCCCAAATGAATACAAAATCTAAGATATTCATTTGCGGCTGGCACTAACCATGTATTCCTTCACAGTACTAAGCCATAGAAAGGTCTCCAATGACACCACTGCATTCCACCATCAGAGAAACTCTAATCTCAACATTTATAAGATTATATTTGTAGTGCCTGCAAATTTTCATATTTGAGACAAAAAAAATAGTTTTTTCCTCATAAGAAGGATATCAAGACATAAAATTATAACATAACTGAGTAGCTCAGAATGTCCTGAAAAAAAAACTGTGAAGCATATGTGGCTAACTCATGTACATATAATGTAATAAGCCTAAAATCAAAGGGATAGAAAAACCCAAAAATAGGGTTCAAAGGGTTAACACAGTACTGTGATTGGGTGTAAAACTTCCTGCTTCAAAGTTCAAATGCAACCAATCAGGTGCGTCTTATTTGAAAAACTGTTACATTTGCACATAAGCATTTATACAGAAATTTTAAGATAAAACATCCAAGGTTCAAATGATACTGTGACACAAACTTTAGGCCATACTGCCTAGCCCCCTGATGATGTATGTGCTTCATATTTTACAGTATGTTGTGTTATGTAGGCTCAAACATTAGTCTGTTTCTGATCTTGACTTGGTCTAGCCCTGTCTTGGTCTTGGTCTTGTCTCAGTCTCACCCTGCCTTGGTCTTGGTCTTGATGCACTCTGGTCTTTATTTATTTATATATTTTAAATGCCCAACCACCACCACCACCCTCTATGAAGGACAACTTTATTTTTTAATTAGCTGAGCAACAAATCAATACATTAAGTGAAGCCACTCCAAACCAGCACACCCCCTGCCCATCCCCCATTATGACAACACAGTATACAGATAGACAAGTAAGATATGGCAGGTAAGACAGACAAGACATGACGTTGTAAACTTGTAAGACCTAGCAGATTGACGTAGACACACAAGGTAGGGCAGGATGAAGCAAACCCTTACACTCACTGGGATATTTAGGGATTTTCTGTGAAGTTATGAGAGCTTATGAGATACATTGAGGTATGATTGCATTGAGGAGTTGTATTGTCAATGTGTGTGTCTGTGTGAGTGTAATTATGTGTGTCATTCCTTGGATTTAATTTACAGGCAAGTCCAGTGCAGTGGTAAATCAGCCCCAAACTTTTTGAAGTCTGGGGTTTGCATTAAGCAGAGATATATAAAATCTTTCTCGACCAATGGGTTGTTTGATTTGGTTGATGTTTAGTTTCATTGAAACGGGGGCATGATCACTGATTAGAATGGGATACATTTTGGGTTCTAGGATATTGGAAACAATTGAGTTACTAGTAAGGAAAAAATCAGTACGGGAGTATGATTTATGGGGTGGAGTGAAGTGTGAGTATTGTCTGATATTAGGATTTTTTAGTCGCCAGCTATCGCCAAGACAAAACTTTTAATATATCCATGGATGCCAGTTTCTAGGATTGACGGTAGTGGATGAACTATTTAAAGTAGGGTTGATCACTGTATTAAAGCCAAGAGTTTGATAAATTGGATAATGACTCAAAAAACGTATGGAAGAAAGCGAGGTCATCAGAACTGGGTCCATATATGCTTGCAATAGTGAGGTTTTTGTTGTTGATTGTGGTGTTAATAATGACATATCACCATTCAGGGTCCGTACCAAGCGGAAATGAATATATTTGATTTTGCATCCATTTGGTAAATTGTTGAAGTTACTAGAAAAGACTGCTAAAAAGGGGTCTCAAGACCAAGACCAATCTCAAGTACTACATCAGTAAGGGATGGAGATTGTTTTTTTTTTTAACAGGGAAGGAAAAACACTTTTCAAAAATACCCATGTACAGGCCTAAATGATCTGAAATGTATCCTGAAAATGCTGTGCATCACAAACAGAATTCAGTCATCCTTCTTCCAGTGTTTTGATAGATGATTCACAAAGCAGGGTCAGACAACACCCCCAAAATAGCATGTCAGAAGTGGGATTTGAACCCACACCTCTATTCAGAGGCCAGAAGCCCCACCAGCCAGGGAAGAGGAATAACCTTGAGTCTGGCACTTTAGACCACTCAGCCATCCTGACACATACTACTATAAGTCTAATCAAATGGTTTTCATGCCCCAGTTGAACAAAGCAGATAATGTGCCCCCATGATAAGATTCCACATGATCACAACACAAAGCATAGAGTGTAGGAATGTCCACATACACTGGCAGCACTGAGAGCCAGAGTGACTGAGTGGCAGTGTAGTGGTTAGGTATGTACCCTTGATAGCAGAGGGCTGCTAGTGTGAATCCTGTGCATGCTTACTGTTATGGCAGCATTTGGGGCTTAGTGGGTTAGGATACCACACCTATGATAGGAAGGTGACCAATTCAAATCCTAGGGTAAGCAAAGTAATATCACCATCGAGCCTTTGAGCAAGTACCTTAACATAAATTTCTTTAGTGACTGAGTGACTTTGCATGACGTCACTTCAAATAAAAGCATCCACTAAAAAAGTACAAATGTAAAGAGGCTTTTCCTCTGATCCTGGGGAAGATTAAGTTTAGAAACTTGATTTCACACAGATATGTAGAGACCGCATCAAATAAAAGTATGTTAAATGTAGCAAATTCAGTACTTCAGTAAGCACCAAAAAGACTATTACAACACCACAGGGAAATATTTGTTCACCATTTTCAGTTTATTGAGGAAAAGCGGGTACAAAAAAAAAAAGTAACGGTGATACTGATAAATCACTGCTGAGACCCAGATGTGCCCACAGTCTTGGTGAGAGCAAAGGGCAAATGGAAAGGTTCTACTCTAGTCATCCATACACAAGTAAGGCGGAGTCTGCGGAGAAGCCAAGCTACATTAACTTCACTATCATTAGCTGCCTGGAACATGCTCATATCTGAAAATATTAAGACACCATGTGACTTGAAGCGCACACCATTTTATCCTGGTATGGGGCAAACAGAGCTCAACAAAGGTTTCAAAATGCAGTCTAGCAACTTCATAAGCCTTAGCTATAGCCTAAAGTTCTCAGCTCAAAGTACAGCAGGTAGCAAAATGTCCAAAAATGCACGATGGCCCAATCTTTCTCAAGAGTTTGCCATGGGAATGCATGGATAAAGATGGAGCTGACAGATACACATTTGGTTAACAGATTTTTGTATTTCACATTTATACCTTTGTGCTAAGGGTGAATTACACAACCAGATACCATTTCAGCTTGACAAACACCATCACTGCGCTCAAGAAAATGCCAGCATTAAAAGGGATAAAAAAAATATTAAAACTACAAAAAAAAAAAAACAAAATAAAACAATAAAAAGGTATTAGAAAATTGCTGCTGTTTCATATTTTTTTCCATCAACTTCTTGGTTTGCAGTCAATGGTTACTCTGTCTTTTATACTGGTACTCAAATTTTTGGGAGGGAAAAAATATACCTAACGAAAACAAAAAAATGCAGCAATACTATAAAATGCTAAAAATAGCCAACGGAATGATTGGGAAGGATATCATTACGCAATCATTTTGCTGAAGGAAACTATTAACCAGCCCTGTAGTATTTGCACATTAGATAACTAATCTTTTCAATTAAGTACACATGCCTACAGATGTTAAAAGGTAGGAGTGAATGATATTTTAAAGTGTGGTACGTAAGTGCTGAAGGGCGGGGTTATTGAACTTTTACTTTTGCAGGATGACTACTCGAATGTTATCTTCTTCCACAATCCTAACAAAAAAAAATAATTCCAGGTATCAGTAAATATGAAGACACGGTTGGCTGATGGCCCCGATCTCATGAGGGTTGTTGGACACTGCATGGTGCAGCAGCTGGCATCTCAAAGCTAACCACCCACACTCACGGACATTTATACTCTGAACATTGATGATTTCACAGGCCCAGTTACTAAATCTGCTGAGGGCTTGGATCCACAGAAAATAAAAAGCTTAACATTTCATTAGGGTATTCTGACAAATGGGCGGGAAAAAAAAAAATAGGAGGAGGTGTCTTAATACTTTGATTCTGGGCTTTCCCTTTTATGTGTATTTAAGAGTAACATGAACAATACAAGTAATCTGACCAGAAAACTGTTCTTCCAGTGGTATTCCAAAGGGACATTACCCACTACAACTGAATCTCAGATGAATTACTGAGGGGTTTAAAGAATGATGTCTTTTACAAATAATTTAGATGTCTAATGTCTGGCTTGAAGATGAATGAAGATTTTCTTCAACATTTCAGTTTCTTTTGGCTGAACTTTAAAAAAAAAAATAATAATCAAAACCTGAGAACAAACCAATGAGCAAAATGATGTATGGAGAAAACTGGATGCGGAGATATTGTAGTGATACCCAAAGTAGTAAAACTGAAAATGCACAAAAACATCCCTCAATAATTCACAGGAGCAGCCCCCACATTAACCTTACTCTCAATGACAGTGACAGCTCTACACCTACTATTGACTGGTTTGCTATCTGGATAGTTTTGTTGAGGGAATCTGCGGGGTACAGTGATCTATGTGGTGAGCTGTTGTGTGCACCAATTCTATGTTCCTTTGGGTGGGGTCCATTTTAAAGAGCTGGGGTCAATGGTCTTGTTGTTGTTGCCTCTCTTGGTCTCCTTAGCTTTCCATTCATCAATAAGGTCCTAAAAACAAAAAGGATAACACAAGTAAGTTGAGTTTTTGAGGTAGCAAGTTCTTCTGTAATCCTAAACTCCACTGAACACCAGTGCATAAATGAAAAAGAACATGCCTGTCTCTTTAAGACAAGGTGCTTTCCTTTCCAATACTTAAGCATCTGGAGGGACTGGAGTGTGCTAACAATATCCACAGGGTTCACCGCTGTCTCCTGGCTGATCTCTGCAAAGGGACCAAGGTGGTTACACTAGTATAATGCAATCATAATTCGATGCAATATAAACTTGCTTTTTCAATAATCTCTATGATCAAGCAGCAGATTCCAAAATAAAGATAATATTCAAATTACGAATAAATGTCAACACAACAATGTTTTATTTAAAGATCTAGACCTCTAGTACTACCTTTGATGGAGATCTCCTTGCCCTGGAAGTTGTGCAGGTAGCGCAACAGCACCTCCTTCCAGTAGCTCCGGTAACTGATGAGGCCCAAGTCGGAAAGGGGACGCTCAGGGGAGCCCACCTTCTCCTCCACTTTGGACAGCAGGTAACCTGAGAAAGCATGCACACTGTATACAGCCTTCCTGCGAAAACCTCTCAGGGTGGTTGTTACATGTTCAGGCGTCAAATGTCCTGTGTGTACCTGGCACAGGGCAGGGCATTTTATACAGCGTTCCTAAAGTGCATCCTTCAGAAAGTCACTTCCAAACCAATCATATTTAACTGAATCGTATATTTTATTTTTTTTTTTTAAGAATAAACTTCAGTATTTTAAGATCTATCAAACAGGCAGATACTCAACAGGAAATTGTTTCTGAAATTTGAAAAAATGAAGACCAAAAGACACCTGCACAGACCAACAGACCACAAACCCGACGAGTGACGGACTACTAGAAATAGAACACGAGCCACACTCACTGAAATCGATCAGCATCTTGCCGTAGCCCTGCCTCATGTATTGTGGCATTGTCAAGATGCAAGACACGTTATAGTTCAGGAAGGAATTCTTCTCCTAAAGACAGATTAAAGCAAAGGCAGCAAACATTAATGCGTAGAAACTGAAGCCTGTGGAAATTACAAATCTCACAAAGGTGCTCTACACAAAACAAGACATGACATCTGAAATTAACTGCAGAAGGGCTAGTGGCCTGAATACTACCTTAGAGAAATACCCAACGAGATGGCATCCTGTGTTATCCGCTTCTGTCATGACATAGAACAGAAATGGCTCTACGTCGTAGTACAGTGTCTTGTGGTCCAGGAAAAGCTTAGCTAGCAAACAGAGATTCTGGCAGTAAATCTGTGGAGGGAAACTGCAGGTCAGAATGAGCCTCATCTCCTTTGTTAGCATCTTGTGAATTAGCATGCCCATCTAGCAAACGTGACTAAAGACGTTACGAGAGTTACTGTGAGGCGAGTGTTATTTTAAAAGCTCTGCTTAGTAGCAGAAAAAAAAAAAACGGATGTGCAGTCTAAGTCGTAAATCAAGAAACCTAACCAAACCTAAAATCTATGAAATTAAGGCAGCGTTGTAATGACATCTAAAGAAAGCCACAAGGTAAACAAAGACTAACTCAAACTACAAAAGAAAATCTAGAAACTCTCCTAACCTTGTTTTTCTTGCCGTCCACCTCAAACACAGAGATGGCTCCCTTCCGGTAGATCTCATCCCCAGGAGGGTGTTTCCACACACACTTCGCCTGTGGGGAAAATTGGAAATGAGCACAAATAGAATGTCTATTAGCAATGGCTGCCAGCTCCTATCAGAACAGAGACCACCAATGATGGCCAAAACTATGCTTCATGAACCATTTGCTGTATGCTCTGACCCTACTAGATAGTCAAGGCATGCCCCAAATTAATCCAAGAGCGCCATCTAGTGGGGACAAAAAAATACAGCAAATGGTTCATGTAGCGTCATTTTGGCCATCACTGGAGACCACATAAGCAGAGGTGACTGAAGAAGCAATGTAAATGCTGACGTTCTTCGGACCAAAGTCTTACGTTTACTAAACATCAAAGCAGTATGAGTTGTCTTACCATGTGCCTGCGCAGAATGGTCTGGCTCTTCATGTACTTGAGGCAGAACTCGCACATGTAGAGACGCCCCAGACGGGCATACTCCTCAGGATAAGGCGAGTGGTACCAGGTGCCCAGTTCATAGCGGCCAAACAGGATGGTCTTGATCATGTTGCTCCCCTCAGTGATTTGGCCCTGGAGCCGCAGTTTCTCCTGTGCACATTGGGAGATGAGGAGAGGGGCGAGGAAAACAGACTTAGATACCCTGACAGTGTCAGAGAGCCAGGAGGAGAGCCATGGCTCGCGATGGAATTAGAGTGGAAAGAAGTCGCAGTACATCAGCTACTTAGAATTCGGTGATCACCACATGGGCACCTATCAGGTTCAATGTTTACTAGATTCATGAAGAAAAAAAAAAAAGAGTACATGTAAAAAATTAAGTTTTCATATTTAACACAGCATCCCTGTACTGGATATGTGGCTGGAAGATTGGATGGAAGGGTAGGTAGGTAGATGGATGGGTGGCTTGTATTTTATTGACCTTGAAATATTGGGGATTATTTTTGTTATAACCACTTAAGCAAAAAAATAAAAAATAAAACAAAATAATAATGCATTAGTATGTTGCAGTGCATCAAACGAGTGCAGCGGAGTGTATGGTGCAAAACGTCACTCAAGCCCATCCTACCAGCTCACCCCAAGGTGTCACTACAAGCTAAAGGCAAGAGGAGGAGGAAAGGAGAGGAGGTAATGAGTCGTCTCTCTTACAAGATCCTCTGAAGCACGTGCCTGGGCTTTTCTAAAGAGCTCCAGGTCATAATCACTAGTGATGTTCTCAAGAAGAGGCTCTCTGGTGTTGCCGTGGGTCTGCCGGTGCTCCTGGGAAGATCAAGAAGTCAAGAAAGAAAGGAATCATTTCAGTTCAATCACAGCAGCAGGAAGTGTATGCATCTGCATATTACACCTGGACCACAAGCTGCCAAGATGGTCAGTAACCGCAGACTCCAGCCTTACCATGTACTTCTCCTTCTGCTCTTTAAGGAGCCCCGCATTCCTCTTCTTCCTCATTTCTGTCACCTTCTCCTTGTACCTCACCTGCCTCTCCGTCGGTGCCTGGAGATGACAGCACAGAACTGTTTACAAGCGCACAGCCAAGTGCAACAAATCACATCCGCCCTCCTTGCCAAACGAGGATGGCACGCTGCTTGTGGTTTACAGTTACTTACAGCCCAACAGTGAATCCACATCCCATGCCAAACCGAGTGATACTGCCCGCTACAGAATACCTGGTGGCGAGTAGCATGTCTGTTGTTTTCATCCTGCCGGTGCGAAAGTGTCCTCTCTTCCACTTGCTTGTCCCGGCTAGTAGCTCGAACCTACAGGAAAGGAAGGTGATTATTCAACCCGGATGGTTTACATTCTCGGCGGCTGTAACTCTTATTGCGAATGGACACCTGCCAGTAAAGTGTAATGCTTACCTTGCACTCATCTGCAGACAGGTTATGGTACAGAGGGCATCCAGATATGGAAAAATGCCTCTCATGTTTTCCCGTTAGATGTCCTGCAGAAGTGCCAACACAACAAAACGCTCTTCTCAGTAATCACTATTAAAGTATGCCGTTTGTCTATCAACTATACCTCTGAGTTTCCTCTCAGTCCAAAAAAAACTGCAGGTTCTCCTGAAACTGAAATGGGTTCTCCTGAAACTGAAATGGGTTCTCCTGATTGCCAGTGTGAACATTTGTGTGTCCATGTGCTTCTGGGTACAGGCATCAAGTTCAGCAGGACTGCAGATAAGTGCTTAGGGATGGATGGAGGCAAACACTGAGTAGAGCAAAACAAAGGTTCTGTACTCACACACTGAATACTATATATACATAAGTATTTACGTGGTATAAGAGAACATTACTTCAAAACAATGCTGAGAGAAAAATTACTATGGCTGGGGTGGAACGCAGATGCAGAACTTAAGGCTCTCCTCATGTTTGGTAGAAACAATGTTCTTTCACGTACCCAAATAAAACCTGAATGGTACTAACTGACCCTGGCACAATTACGGCTACACATTATTCATCAATACTTAATTGCGTCTGAAACACACAGCTATTTAGAAAGACACATTGAGCTTCTCTCATATCCAGTGTATTTGTACTATATAAAGAGGAAAAGGAGCAGCATGGTGATGCACTGGTTACCACTGTTGCCTCACACATCTTGGACCAGGGTTCGAATCCCCGCCATGGCTCCGTGTGTGTGGAGTTTGCATGTTCTCCCCATGTTATCGTGTGGTTTCCTCTGGGTGCTACCAAACTACACATAGGTACATGAGAGTGCTCCCTGTGGTGGGTCGGCGCACCATCCTGGGTCGCTTCCTTCCTTGGGCTCATAGGCTCTGGACCCCCCATGAGCAGGATAAGTGGACACAGAAAATGGGTGGATGAAAAGGCTTTTGTTGGGAAAAGCCAGTCTGATGAGCAGTCGTTTAAGCTATACTGACAATTATGTTCCCGAACAAAACATTTGCCTTGGAACTCTTTCCACCTTAGTTCACTTAGTGTAACATTTAAACCAAAAAAAAAAAAAAAAACAGTCATTTTTAAGAAAGATGGCTGAGACCAAGCATTTCGAGGTAGTCTGTCAGTATTACAATGCTAGAATATGAATCACCTGTTTTGTTTGCTCATAGCAAGTATGTCTAAAAAAATAAATAAAATAAGTGAATTACCCTTATTTGGTAACTGCTTACATTTCATATTGCCTACAGCCTCATGCTTAATACGACCATTTCTGCAAGTCCACTGGGTCAGCATTATTCACACAGCCTCAGATTTATGTCAGAAAGCTCGATTAAAAATAATTCCTAATAAACCCACACCAAAATACTTCCTTGTGTTAATCACACTAGCAAATAGTTGTATAACTCACAGCAAAACCCTCCAGTTACATGACATTCTGAAGGCAAAAAAAAAAAAATCATTCTGTTGCTCAGGAACAAAGAAGAGGTGCCAGCATTCAATCGTTGGTCAACAACTTTGTTAAATACCCTCCATTTGGAAAGGATCAGGTACATTATTAATGACAGGTATGACAAATTTCAGGAAAACGGCACTGCTGGGAGGGGGGGGGGGGGGTAGAATGGGACTGATTTCAGTTTGGCTCTGTATTTGCAGTGTCTTTTCCATCATATTAAGTGCGTGACTTAGATTACCCAACTATTCATTATGTCATTGTTAATCTGTATGCGCTTATGTTTGTTCTACAGAAAAATAAAATAGCTGTATATGCTTTGATCTTCTTAAAGAGGGTACTTACGCTAAACACAAACTCCATCCCACCACACACCCATACTTTAGGCTGTGCAATAAACCTGCTGCTACTCGGATGTGCAATATTCATCTGGTAATTTACCTGTATTACTACACTTAACAGTATTTATTCTATTTATATATATCGTATTTCTGTTTCTCATGTATATATCATGGTGTATATAGCAGAGTCTCTTTTATAATCTTATTTCAGTTCTTATACTTATATCTGACTTTATTTTATGTTCTTGTCTTGTGTCTCTGTCTGTGCGACAGTTTAGTAGTAACATGAGCAATTTCCTCTGGGATCAATAAAGTTGTCCTGATTCTGATTATATTGCTTTCTCAAAATAAATATTTGCATTTCTCTTTCCACTATACTGACAGTTTAATTCTACCTGCAAGCAAAGGACATGCATCTAATTACACTGCACCCAGAAATACTGCAGAGACAGAGATATTCTTTAAGGAACAGGTTGGAAGCCTTTGCATTACCTAATGAGTTGCAGCCTGGAGTCGGACACTTCATGTTGAAGTTATAGCTCTCATGGAAGCGGCGGCGCTTGGGCCGATGGGAGAGGTCACTGCCGGAGTCTTTGTGGGACATGTCCTTGGCTAAGCTTTCATCATGGGAGGCATTAGGGCTTGAGATGTCGATGTCGGACTCTGATGACGGAGCGTTGCCAGTGGGTGTCCGGGGCGGAGACTCATCGTGATCAACGGCATGCTTGAGGTCTGGTGCGTCAGGATGAGAGAGGAAGAAAGAGAAGTTGGGACTGCGGGAAAAGATAGGCGCACACTTACAAAGCACATGGGAGAGGAACCTTCTCCAGTGCACACATAAACCCCCCATAAAGGAAAAGACACTATGTTCCGCATACATGACAGTTGCTCTTTGTGGGAAGGTGGGCACTTCACTACTCCATTCACACGGCTAATACTCACACACTCGATATCAGTATCCAGGACGTCACTGTGACAATGACATGCAGATACACTCCCTCATACTCCAGCCATTGGAAAAATACTTTCATGAATCATAATCAGTCAAATTTTTAAAAATAATAATAATAACAATAATCAAACTTACCAAGATATCTACAATGGCATTTCGACGTGCAACTGTTTGAATGCCTCTTTTCTACTCTACAATCGTCATAACTGGTTTTAAGCAAAGAAATAAATCCTATTTTTAAACTATGTCCCTTAAATTCCAGAGCTTGAAGTGCTTGTGCACTGTTCTTTCCCTTTACAAAAACCAACTCTGGTTTCCTGCCCTGCAATGATCTGCTGAGCAACCAAAGAGTGCCATAAGGCTGCATTCTCAGCAATATGCTTCCAGGACTTGACCACACTCGATCAGAATTCGCTTTTATACACCAAGGTATCTTATGCCACAACATGCAATATACCAACCACCCTGTGAATCCTAAGGACGACAGAGGAAACCCAGACTTCAGAAATCACCATTTTGCACATTTTTTACGAACAGAATTCATTGCAGTTGTTCAGATGAATAGGCTAAAGAAAAATAAATACTTATATCACAGCTGGTGTCCCAAAGCTCCAACTAAGTTTATGATTCAACAATTTATATACAACTGATGTCACTCTCAAAAATGCAGCACAGTGGCATTCACAAAATAAAGAGCAGGCAGTTTGCAAAGCAAAAAAAAAACCATCAGACCTAAACGGTTTCAAAGTACAAAGTGAATACACCACTTTTCATTATTTCTCAGGTACGCAAAGAACCCCAATACACAAAAACAGTAACAAGACATGCCCACCATGTATCGAAAGGGATAAAGACCGAGCACACGTTTTCCACTGAAATATTAAATCTTAAAGCGGCACTTCCAAAGACCATGTCACACAGCTCTTTGTACGTCATGATCAATTAACACAGTAGTTTAGGTGAAACAAAAATGTTTTTGCTGATTGCAGGGAATGCAAAGAAGTGCTTAAATATTCATTGGAAGACATTTCTGGAAATTGATTATGCATTTGATTGAAATTGAATTGGTTTTCTATTAAGCAAGGATTAGACACTGCTTTGTTGCAAAAATATTCACATCATTAGCTCCACTTACCTACCAGAAGGAATCACGTAATTTGAGTTTGTTAGAACTTTTGCTTTCAGGGAATTTCAGCTTTCATCTGATACACCTTATGGCATAAGAACCTTAGAGTATGAATCTCACCAAGAATGTTACTTGGATCATGTGCCCCTGAAATAATTTTCAAACATATGCAGTAAAATCACACCTTCCCCAATTTTAATAAAGACAAGGCAGAGCGGGAAAACAAAGAGCAATGCATTTCAGTACAGCCATGTGTAGCACAAGATGATGTACTGTGTCTACAATCAGTAGGAGACAGCACGGGAAAATACAAGAACTCAGTTCTAGGTGGGGCAAAAGGCAAGCCAAAGAAACAGAACAGGGAGCCAAAAAGCCACAAGAATGACATCATGGCTTGGGTCAATGGGACTCAAAGTGTCCTTGTGTGTCAGACTCGAGCAGTAAGCTTGGCGATTGGGATTTTATTTTTTGGAAATCATTGCTGGTGATCTGATCTCAGAATAATGTGTGGACTTGGGACTGGGGAAGAGTCCTAATTAAACGTTTGGTTGGGAGAATAGCAGCTTTACAGCAAGGATTCAGCATCTTTTCAGCAGACAAAATGTTGTTGTTCAAGATTAACATTTTCAACGGAAAATCTTAAACTACTGATATGCAAATTGATGTCACTGACAATTTCTGTTACTTCAAGGTCTCCCAGAAAGTGATGTTCGAATTCATTTGTCTAATTAGTGAATAGTTAATTCGGGATGATTCCTAAAAAATAACTGATGTAAATTTTTAAGTCATTGGGACTAGTTTTCAGCTTCCAATTGCTCTGTGAATTGAGAATATCCGTTTAACTCAAACTAGGACTCTTCAAAAGGGAAGCCGTTTCTGAGATCTTGGTGAAGCCAGCGGATTTCACAGTAGCCATTATAAGTGGGGCACCAACAGATGCTACTTCAGATCTGAAGACCTTCCCTGAATGCTAAGGATAAAACCTTTAGATTTAACCAAATCCCAAATGGCAAAACAAGCAGGCAAATTGGGTTGTCCACATTTTAATATATCCATTCATAAGTATCCTTTTTACTACAGAATGGAGTTGTGATATGCCAGGTTATCATTTTTGTATATTTTATTATAATTACCTTATAGTTTAAGTATTTGCTATTAAAAAGACACTAGCTTAGCACATGAACTTAACACTCTGAACTAGCTTCATTGGTCTCCCCAGTATCACTTATTTAATTCCGAACTACAAAATGGGAAAAAAATAGATAGGAGCTGATCAATTTTGGGTGTGGAGAACTGAGTTCCCAGGAGAGCTGAGGAAACTGTAGTATGGAGAGGGCTAGACTGCGGGGTGAAGAGTGTGTGGCGATGCTGGCTCCTCCGGCACGTTCTGAAGCCCCGTCGCCTACCCCTGTCTGAGTAGTCCACCGCCTGCTCCGTGTCGGACCCAGAGGAGCGACTCTGCCGAAGGGGGTATTTCTTGGGGGTAACTGGTGCCCCCTGTTGTTGGCTACGGGTCACGCGCCTGGTGGAAAAGGCGGCATCTTCTGAACCCAGGGCCGGTACGTTCCGGACTGGACTGGAATCTAAAAAGAAAGCCTTTACATTTTAACAGACATCTTCTGCTTCCAACCTTGGGGTTGAGCACTGAGTCATGTTAGTCTTAGAAATATTGATAAGCGCTACTTTAAATTAATGTGTTGCGTCATTATAGTATAGTAATTTATGTATTCTAAAGCCTAGCCTATATAGTAATGTATGTATTCTAAAGCCTGCCTGATCATTGATCCTAAAAATAAGTAAATGACAAATTTTAAAAAATAAAAATAATAACTGCAGCAACTCATTGTACTGTTTTACAGTAAGACAGTAGTTGATCACAAGGCTTTTACTGCAAGATAGGGAAGTTCACATTCAGGTGGTGTTACCATAAGCCTGTCCATTCAAAGCCTGTCCCCGTAAAATGCTTATAAAATATCCTTGCCTATTTGATTTTCTCACCAAAAAAAAAAAAAGAATTATCAGCATTTAAATTTTTCAACAGGCACACAGAATACATTTAATTTCTGGCTGCTCACAAACGAAAAGCCCCTAAATAAAATGAGACTAAATAGCACTATTTTTTTTTATGGACATACTGCTGAAGTTTAAATGGCCAGTGCCCCTCACAATTCGCTCAGTTTCTGATCACTGTAGTGCTGCACAAAATCTGTCATGTGCACCGTTTTGACCGAGTCACTCATGCACCTCTGGCACCATAAGTTCCAGACCCAAGATCTCACAAAGCAAGTTACCAATTTCATTTTGAAGTCAGTGTGGCATCCGGGGCCCCTCTTCCTTCTAATCTCCTCAACTCTGATGTCTGCATCGACAGCATCTTATACTTACTCACGGATGCACCAGCTAGAGAGGCACCACTGCTGATGTGTTTACAGGTGACACTACGGAAATCAGTGGATGCTGATGTTTAAGAATGCACCAACTTTACAGAATTTAAAATGAAAATGATACATGACACAACGCTTGAATAAATGAAGCCACAGAATGAACCCTGCAGATACCTACCATACTTCTGATATGCTGGTGGTTTGGAATATACCAATTTTTAACTATAGCAAGAAATGCTATTCTGTGTCACTAGCACCACCTTTTATTAACATAAAGATCCCACAATTCTGATCCTTCCTCGTTTGATTGAGAATGCAATTATAAAGCAGAAACCAGAGAAATGCAGGAGACCCCACTTAGACAATGATGCAATAACTCATTGTTGCAACCAACCAACAATGCAGTCACTCACAGGTTGATGAAATGAATCGCCCCTGCTTTTGAAAGTAGCACACTCCCAAGCTGTGCCAATTGGGAATATAGTTATACATCATTTAATGATATACCAATCCATTCAAATGGCTCTAAAGGGTGAATACGGCCAATAAGAGGCCAAGAAGAGCAAGAAGACATTGGTGCCAGTACTAGCACAAGAAAATACCACATAAATTCCATAAATAATCCTGTCCTCATTAAACCAAAAATTCAGTTCTTTCCAACAAGAATTTATATGCAGCCGACTGTGACCTGGACGAAACTCCAAAAAGACTATGCATGCTCTGACAACACGGAACAATGCATTAATACAGCAGCAGAGAATTATGCATCGTTTGCTATGCGTCTTGAGGATTAAATTGTATTTTAAGGCCAACGTTTTCAGAAAAGCAGTACAAGGCATATAAGAAGCAAGGGATAAAAGTTATCTTGAAACTGAAAAAGTTGTATAATGTCTCTCAGATAAGGCATTTCTTGCATCATGCTGCAAGGTGTCACAGCACAGCAATGCAACAGCAACACATATTTCAAGTATGTGACTTGCTACAAAAAAAAGACGTACCTTGGGAGCTCTGGCTAAGGCGCACGGAGGCACGAGTTAGACGAGTGTTTTTGCGCGTGTTCACATCGCTCTCAGAGCTGTCCGTGTGCTCCAGATCAGCGGACGAGTCTGAATCTTCGGTGCCGTCCGAGCTGCTTCCTGCAGTCCTCTGAGGCAAAATGTCAAGGGCGTAAGTTTGGCTGCAACACTGGTAGGGGACCAAATCATCCCCGAACTTACCGCCCCCTTCAACTCACACGGTACTAGTATAACATTGGTACGGACCTGTCCCTTCCGTCCATACCCAAATCTACGCCATCGTAAAACATTATTATTAATCGTGTTAAATTGCCTTTGTAAATTTCAGGAAAACTTCCCCAATTCCAAAACTTTCAACAGAATTTGATAGAAATGATAAGGTACCTCAACCAATGTTTTTGACAATGATTTCCCACATTTAAATTACTTACATTTTACGAGAAAGAAAATGTATTAGTGGGGCTTTGCTACAACATATTCAATACACTGCATACGTGAAGCAACGATAACCGTAATAATCAGAAACACCAAATAATTCAGTAATTATATATTTCGTACTGGTTCAAATCCAGAACATTAAAATACAGACATTAGGTGGCGGTATTAATTATGTTAAAGCAAATACGGTCATCATATTAACATAAATATCCCTCCAGCACAAAGGAGTAACTTACAATGACAGTAAACAAAGTAATTGCACATGAAACATGCCTACATTAAACATGACTGAAAAGGCCGTATAAACTTTTTGCAGACAAAATGTCTCTATACAATTCTACATTATTACTATGTAGCACACGATTAATGTAGGGCAAGAATGTTACGCATCCTTCGCCATATTAGCCTCGGACCTACTATTACAATCCAACTGTGGCGCCGAAGAAGAAAAGAACCAATCAAAAAAGAAAGGGGGTGGGCTAAGCGGGTTACATACAACCACTTCCACCACTCGTAGTTTCGTTTACCTATACAATACCCAATCACGACGTACTGAAATCAGACTGGCTACTAGGCCGCTACTGAAGCCTGGAGCTGAATTGTATATGTTCTACCGACGGGCTTGTCACAAACCCCGCAACCGAAGCAAGGGCTTCACTCGCTGGTGGGCGTGTGAGCTCAATGAATGTCTCTCACGCCTCAGACAAAACGTTTGATAACATAAAACTCCTGTGCCGCTTGGACCCGTGACTGCACTAACAGTGAAATCTCCACTCAGTTATATATACATTTCAACAATAAAGATATTATGAGCAATAATTACATGGAAATGCTATTTTTGCCATTTTGTTTTTAGCTCGCCTGCTAGCCGTGAGGACAGTATTAACGCAGTCTTACCTTTCTGCGCGGCATGGTTTTCTCGGGTTGCTGACAGAGCCCTATTTTCGGAGTGTTAATGCGTTCCGAAGCGAATATAACGCCAGACGGCGTATTCTGACTGCCGTTGCGGTTGTTGTTGCTGTTTTAGTCCGTAACTGTGCAGCGATTAGCGCCGCACACGGGCTATTTTTCCGCTCCCAGTCCTCACTTCCGGCGAGAGCGGGGAAGAAGGGAATGGGGGTGTTTGCAATGCGCGCGACATATGCGCTTTATTTTCGCGCGTTGTTGTCACTTGAACTAATGGGATCAAGCACCGTAACTGCACCTTGTATTTGTAAATGCGATAGTGAAATATGCATATGCATTGAAAGTATTGCTGGTGGAGCTGATAACACCCATTTGATAGGGTTAAGGAAGTTCATATAAACAACGAAGAAGAATTTGTCAACAAGGTCTTGGGTAGACTGGCTGAAAAAATGGGGGCTCGGTGGGATTAAATATCCAGTGGGTGCGGAATCACACGGATGTTAACGTTGTTAGAGTTGATTTGCCTGTGCTCACATGTCGTGAGATCTAAATCTCACGGGTTGCCGTGCGCTTCAACCGGTCAATATGACTGACTACAGTATGTGCTATATAGCAGGCGTGAAATGAGAATCGTTACAGTCGACGTATTTAATGTCGCCACCTCCTAGTTCTTACCTCTTACCGTCGCAGCCCCCAAGCCGATCGACAACTTAAAGATCTACAAGTTTTTAAGCATCCATCTCATTGTTTTCACTTCAGCTAGACTGGCATGTATGACAGTGGGTAATGCTAAATATATTTTCCCCTTATAAACAAAAGGAATTCAGACAAACAATGGTTACCTTTATGAGTTAATTCATTCTCTATAAAACTCAGTAACCCGAGTGTTCATTGCAGACACAATGAGAACAAGATTTGAAAAAAGTTTAGGTACAGGTGAATATATAGGCCTACTGTATAGGGCTACAACAAACTTATAAGGAATGACATTTTAGATTCACAATGTGTAATTTGTTAAAACACTGCAAAACAATTTAAGTAGGCCTACTATATTTCTATTGTACTGTATGTATGTTGTAAAAAATTAATGTTTGGAAAATTTCATAAAAATGTACTCAATTATCCAGATTCTTTTGAGGAGGCAGTTTAGAAAATAAGCATAAAATATTTTTTCTTTTTCTTCTTCGGCAAAACATTTTGACTAAACATGCCAGCTTAGTTTCCATAGTGAAATATCGTACATCAGAGATAATGAGCAACAAAGTGATATTTTACAAAGCTTCTGTCTTTTTTCTTTATATCAGAATCAGGGCGCCATAAAGCACGGGACAGTTCGAACGATTCCAAGGGCCCCTGAGTAACTGTGGCCCTAAACATTTTGGAATATAAGCCGATTGATGTGGGTTGGGGGCCCAACATAATATGCTTTCATGGGGCCCAAAACCTTTAGCAGCACCCCTGTTTGGAATATCTATAGTTCTATAACTGTATTTGACTCTCCCTGCCGGCCCCTGGAGGATGGGCTCCCCCTTTGAGTCTGGTCCCTCCCAAGGTTTCTTCCTTCTTGGGAGTTTTTCCTTGCCACTGTCGCCTATGGCTTACTCACTGGGGGCTTTGGGTGGGGATGCTGTAAAGCGCTTTGGGGCAATGTAATGTTGTGATAATGCGCTATACAAAAATAAATTTGTTGTTGTTGTTGTTATACGTATGTAGAGTAACTGGAACGTTATACAAATGTGAATATAGTACAAGGACCAAAGAATATTGACACATGCCAAGACTGAGGAGGGGCAAGGAAACTACGGTGTTACCCAGTTTTGCAGGGTAGTGGATTGCGGGTTTGACAAGGATGAAAGAATCCTGTGTGAGCAGTTCACTTGCTGACATGCTAAGACTGAGGAAGGGCACCTTTAGTTTGTATGTTAAAGGAAATTGTATCACCAAATTAGCAGTGTAGTGTAGTGCAGTGGTTTTCAAACCTTTTACATCACATGCACATGCTATCCTCGTACTACCGATATTAACAATATCATGAAAAGGATAAGTTGTTGGAAGATGGATGGATGTTATGTTTATATGTGTACAGTTAGAACATATTTATTTCCTGTTTCTGCTCCCAGGCTATGAATTAGTACTGTCCTTTTTGGTATATTTAGTACATTAATTGCTGCCATTTTCATTGCTGTTTTTGTTTTGGCCTTTGAGGAGATGTTGACACTTTGTCTCATGTACACATGCTCTGTTTGCCCAGCCTATGGACACAGAGGGAGACCTTCCTTTCCGTCCCAGGACTGGCAAGGCAGCAGCCACCCCTCTGCTTCCTGAGGTGGAGGCGTATCTCCAGCTTCTCCTGATGGTTTATCTCACCAACAACAAGTGCTACAATGAGGTAAGAGCAGCAGCTTATTACCTGCTGAAGGTAATAAGCGTCACGGTGCGTGAGAGAGACCCCAGCTGGGAGGCTCTAATTAATCACCACTTTTGATCATTTGATTGACAAGTTAAAGCCGGACTGTTCGTCATCTACCAGAACTGGCTTTAGGAGCATGGAATGTAACTTCTCTGTTGGGAAAGGAGCCTGAGCTATTGCGGAAGGTAGGGCGATTCCATCTATGTATAGTCAGGCTCACCAAAACTGTACAGCACAGGCACTGGAAGCAAACGCCTGGAAAGGGGCTGGATTCTTTCCACTCTGGAGTTGCCCTATGTGAGAGACACTGGGCAGGTGAGGGTCTACTCCTAGCCCCCTGTATTGGCACCAGTATGCTGGAGTTCGCCATGCTGAACGAGAGGGGTGGGTAATGACAGTGAAATCTGGAAGGGTGTGATTGGGAGGAAAAGCCCGCTCAATCTGAACTCTGTTGGTGCTCTGTCATTGGACTTCTGTGCTAGCAATTCTATAATGAATACCACGATCGAGCACAAGAGTGTTCATAAATGCACCTGGCATCAGAGCACCCTAGGCCGTAGCTCGATGATCGATTTTGTAGTCGTATCAGCAGATCTGCAACCGTGTGTCTTGGGCACTCGAGTGAAGAGAGGAGCTGAGTTGTCAACTGATCACAACCTGTTGGTGCGTTGGATCAGATGGCAGGGGAGAATGCTGGACAGACTTGGTAAACCCAGTGTATAGTTAAAGTGTGCTGGGAGTGTTTGGCAGAGGCCCCTATATCAGGAGATCTTCAACTTGCACCTCTGGCTCAACTTCACTCACCCATCACTGGGACTGAGGTAGTTAGAAATCTCTTCAGTGGTAAAGTTTCCCTCTTATGGACACTGGATGGTTCAAATGAGTTTGCCCAACCAGTCTACATATTTCTGTGGACTTGGGAAACTTGTACAGTTGTGTCCTTCGGGGAGTCCTGTGGGGGATGCTTTGAGAGTATGGGGGGCTGAGCCTGCTGTTGCAAGCCCTTGTATAACCAGAGCAAGAGTTTGGTTTGCATTGCCTGCAGTAAGTCAGGCTTGTTCCTGCTGGGTGGTGGGATTCTCCTGGGCTGCTCTTTGTCATCGATTCTGTTGATATCTTAGATGGACAGAATTTCCTTTCACAGCCACGGGGCAGAGGGAGTCCAGGGTACAGAGACTGCAGGATCGCATCTTTGCAATTTGCGGATAATGTGGTCCTGCTGACTGCTGTCACCTGCATTGTGCACTGGGGCGGTTTGCAGCAGAGTGTAAAGCAGCTGGGATGAGAATCAGCAGCTGAAAGTCTGAGGCCATGGTTCTCTACCAGAAAAGAGTGGATTTCCCCCTCAAGGCTGGGGATGAGTTACTGCCTGAAGTAGAAGAGTTTAAGTATCCTGGGATCCTGTTCATGAATGAGCGAAGAATGGAGTGGGAGATTAACAGGGGGATCGGTGCAGCATCAGCAGTTATGTGGACATTATGTGGTCTGTGATGGGGAAAAGAGATCAGAGCCAGAAGCAAAGCCATCAGTTTACCAATCAATCTACATTACTCTTACCTAAGGTCATGATCTTTGGGTTTGGACCGAGATTGGGGATATGAGGTTCCTTTGCTGAGTGTCTGGGCTCAGCCTGAGAGGGGCTCAAAGTACCACTGTTGCTCCTCTGTGTCAAAAGGAGCCAGCTGAGGTGCTTTAGGTACCTGTCTAGGATGCCTCCTGGACACCTCCTTGGGGATCTTCCCTCAAAGTCCTACATATGGCCTAATTGGGATAGTGAGCAAAGGCTGCCACAAGGTGGCAGTCTTGTGTAACGTATGTTAGCAGTGCTGGAGTGTCTGAAGAAATAATCCGTCTTTTTCAATCAGATGCATAATGTAAGAAGAACAGCTAATATCCAGCCTTTAAAACATGACAATACGTCAGTCTTATCAGAGAAGTTACTCGTGCCTTGAAATTTGTATCAATGTCATAGTTTGACTTGTGTGTTGCCTTAGCAGGAGAGACGTGAGAGGGAGCAGAAAGATTTGGAAGTTTGGAGGATGATGATGAAGATGAAGACAGTTTCCCACAATCTGCAGCAGCTTCTACCCTACTTTTTCTGATTTCTTTATTCACATGTCTTGTCTACCCCCTTTTTGGGTATGGATGGTTGGGACATGTCCCTTGCAGTATTGTGGGAATAGCGTCTGTGTTTACGAGGTTGGGTGCTGATATGGTCCCTACCAATGTTGAAACCAAACCTACACCCAAAGGGGCAGAGGATTGCCCAGGGCACCATACAAGCTAGAACGGCCACTTGCTGTCGGAAGAACTACAGTGTAAGCCTACTGCCCAGACGGCCCCTACTCCTGACACACAAGCTGCCTTGTTGTCTTTCTGTAATTTGTAAGTACATATGGTTGTTATGTATCTGTGTCTGGCAATTTAGTAATAACAACACTGCCTAATGTTACAATAATCATCACACATAAATCCAGGACTAAAGTAAACTTTACTTCAGTTAAATTCTGTACTCAGAGGAATATAGAATTCACTGGCACCCTGCAATAAACTGTTTTCATGTTTACTTTTCATTTCCAATTCATAATTAATAATTATTTTGAATTAAAAGTAACATAGAAAGTCATTTTCATATGTAACTGCTACACAACAGTCTATTGAATGTATTCTAGTGCCATTACATCCATTGTTGTGCAATTGTACAGTTTAGTAAATATCAAATTAAACCCTGAAACCCTTTAACCAAAATTTGTGTGGCTAGCTTGCCTTTTTTGCAGTAGTACTTAAGGCTAAAAATTGCAGAAACACAAGTTTTACACCGACTAACTCATTCCCTCGTCATTCATACTACTACTTAATAGTTTTAAAGGCTTTGTACAGTAGCATAGTTCATAGGTGTCAAGTCTCACGGTTTTTACTCCTGAGGCTCACGTTTTGTAACACTCTGCTGGGACGTCATGCGTGCAAATCAGACAAAATGACGATGCGGAAGAAGACTCAATCTGCCCCCCCCCCCACACACAACAGTCGGCAAGTTTAAACAAACCCCACCTTGACTTACTTAAGGAGACCCCACCCTGGTACAAAGTTATACAGGTTTTAATTACTCATCTCAGTTTCACCCCAGGTGGGTTGGCATGTCTGACAGGGGATAATGCTAATTATCTTTTGCCTTTCCTAAAAGAAATCAGACATACAAAGGTTACCTTTCATGAACAATATTCATTTTCCATAAAACCCAGTAACCTGAGAAAGCATCTAAGTTGCAGAATGACTGCAAACATGATGGGATCAGCACTAGAAATCGGTGTAAGTATATACAGGTACCTATATGTAGATAAGCCCAAATGTTATTATCACCCTCACACAGAGTGCATAAGGTCGACTGTCACTTAACAGGGCATTCGTGTCAAGGCTTGGGGTATGTAAGACAGAGCGAACAGTCGATGCTCGTTGTCAACTTATTGGATATAGCAGAAATAGGCACTGGCTAAAGATGTGAGTGACTTTGAAAAGAGGGAACCTGTCATGGCCAGATGACTGCTTCAGAGCAGACTGCATTATTTTCACACACACTTGGTAAAGCATTTAATTTTGACAGCTAAAAGTCTGCAAACCAGCGGCATGTTACTTTAGGTCTTTATGGTTTGTTTTTATTTTATTCTCTGAGATGCTAACACCTTGGTGACAGATACCGCAGGACATTTGCAGAGGGGCTGTGGAGGTTCGAGCTGTTTTGGTGGCACATAGAAAAGCAACAGCATATTAGGTAGCTGGTTGTAATCTTTGCTCATTGGTGCATGTAATGCTATAACAAATTATTTTACCACTATCAAGAATGGGATTATAGATTTGTAATGTGTAATTAATTAAATAATCAGAGTAAGTGGAATGTTATATAAATGGATGATAGATAGATAGATAGATAGATAGATAGATAGATAGATAGATAGATAGATAGATAGATACTTTATTGATCCAAAGGAAATTTAGGCATCCAGTACTTCAAATACATAAGAATAGACACAATAATAGTCACAATAACAGAATAACATAACAATGATTGTGGAGGTAGAGACAGCATCCATGGGTGCTGTGCAAATGGTCAATACCCTGAAAAGTTGTATACGTCAATTGTGATTATTACTGCAAGAATAATTAGTACATAAAATACATAACAAAAATGTAAATATAAAAAATATAAAATATACAAAGTATATATCTATACACTGTAATATATATGGGATATGTATAATATAAAATGTAAATATGAAATACATATAAACCTTATATACTGTCTCTGTGACATGTTTTAGAGCTGTATGGCTTGGGGGACAAAAGATGTCCAGGATCAAAGCATATTGACACATGCCAAGACTGAGGAAGAGAAAGGAAACTACGGTGTTACCCAACTCTCCCTAATAGTGGAGGGTTTTGACCAGGATTAATTAAGTGTGAGTAGTCCACTTCCTTTGAGATCATAAAGGACCCATATGATGTCAGTGGAATTCCCAAAATTTGGGTTTATAAAACTAAATCCAAAGACCTTACAAAACATAGACTCAGGACATCAACAACTGCCTCTGAATAATCACTAGCAGGCACAACAGCCAGAATGTATCTGTTCAGTAAGTTTGTTTTTCTATGTTGCTCCTGATTGCCATGATTGACCACTGCAATCTGATTTCTTCATTGTAACATCTTTTTATCTAACAGAAGGCGACAGCTGTGAGAGTAATGTAAAAGGTGCCCGGGACCAGTTATACTGGATATTTTTTTTGCAAGTGTCGTGCACGTGTTTCGGTGTTGTATGAAAGGTTAGACGGTGTCATATCTAAATTCTTCGCAGTGCCTGTAAAAAGAATCCATTGTAAATGACTGCCAGTTCACAGCTTTGCATTGTCAACGATTACGACCCACCCTGGATTCAAAGGATGGATATTTAATCTATCACTACGTGTTCTCCGTTTACCTTTATCTGCGATAACCCCCTCCCCTGGAATTCAGACCGAACGCTCAGTGTTTTTTAGGCAGATCATGTTACAGCGGCTCTCTTAAGGCAAAGCCTGGAACAGCGACAGTATATTTGACATAACTTCTCACTGACGCCTCAAACTTATTTGCGCGATCTATTTATAACGTCGTTCTCTCGCAATCAACGCCAATCTCTAGTAGCAGTTAATAATCAGTGACAACATTTCTCTTGCAGTTGCTCTGCTAATCTGGCTGTGCGCTCCCATCCACCCGGCCCCTGTTCCGGAGTACTCTGGGGAAACTCACATCTCCATGGAAGGCGCAGGGTTCAAAAGAGCGCTGGAGCACAGTCAGAGTCTCGTCAACAAAATCCTGGGCGACATCCCTGCAGCGCACAAGGCGTCCGTCAACTCCGAGGTGAGTTAAAGCAGTGACACAAAAAGAAAAATGTCAAAAATGGGATTTGCTTGTTGCTTCCGAGGGGCCGAAAAGCCAGTCAGTCGGGGTGCGGATGATGTGCGCGGCGCCGCTGTCCCCAGATTGCAGGCTCGGTCGCAGTGACGCAGATTTCCTTGTGGTAATAATTCAGAGATAACATTTTTGCACCTTAGCCAACAACGATTTTATATATAGACGATTGTGCAGTTTTATCGTGTGCAGTTATCATAACCAATCTCTTTGGTCTTCTTCCAAAAAAAAAATGAATTTGAGCAGGAAAAAGACCTGTGCGATTTCTGATCATTAAACTGCCTTAGGAATATCTCATGTGCCGTTTTTTCCTTAATCGTCGATGTCCTTTTCGGTTATAGCCGTATAACGCACATTTGTTTTCACTATATGAAATTTACTTCACTTTGATAACAATGCTGTGAATATCTATAGTTCAAATCAATAAATATTTAATAAACTACATTGCGTTTTATTTTCGGTGACCAGTTAATGTTACCTGGTGAATTAGTCGAAGTTGGTTTAATTCAGAGACAACTTAAACACCGTCTTAAGACAATTAATTTACTTTCAGTCAGAATTAAGATGACATTGTTTTCTGTTAAAATTCTATGCACCATACCAGGAAAAAAATATTTCGCATCACAAGATTATGGGTCCGGTTATTCCTGCTGTTTTAGTACAATCATGCTACTTTGTTATGTTGTGGATTGTGGAAACAATTTTTTTCTAAAATTACAGCAGTAATATGTGCTTTTCGGTATCAAGTACGTTTCCTGTTCGGTGTAGAAAAATGTAGGCGCATTATATTTTAAAGACCTTAAAGTCTGTAACTGAGAAACCTTTGGGAAATTAATGCTAAACAGCTCTGCATGATTACAGTCCATCTGCGCTTAGCATATAACATCAAGCATACGGTAAGGAAAGGACTCCCGGCACATTTGAACGCCTTCTGCGTCATTGCAAATGCACTGACGGCAAGATAGTGTGCAAAATTCTGGTCAAATTGAGGGACTTGTTAGCTAAAATGTTGCTGAAACTTCTGAAAGCAGGAGCTCCTTATGCTGTTCTCACTAGTGCTTAATCAGGGTGATGTTATCCAGGTTGTGACAGTGTCTGGGTGATGTTATCCAGTGTGTGGCAGTCTCTGCCAGTTCAGCTGTTAATTTTCCTGTTTCTATTGTACCATTGTTTATTTTTGCAGACTTTGACTCTGCAGCCCAACAGTGAGCCAAAAAACCTGGATTACATGGTGACAGTTTTAGCAATCCCATCTGCCCCAACACTGAAGGCAATCTCTGCCGACTTTACAGTGGTGAGTGCAAATAAAATAAAAGAAGATAAAATCTTGTTCATGTTTGTCTGAGGAAATCTGTGGGTAGGAGTCTGAAGGAAGACGTTATTTTTTGAACCCATCACTCCTCTCTCTTCAGGAAATGTGTCTAGACCGAATGGCTGAGGGACTTGAGATGTACCAAGACCTTCTGAAGGCCGTTGGTGACCGAGCATCCTCTCCAGAAAAGCTGAGAGATCTGCAGGCTGACGTCAAAGACCTTTCAGCTCAGATCCATAAGGTCAGTCTTCCTGTCGGAAGGATGGTGATGGTATAAACCTGTTTCGTTAAGGTGTTACTCTCGGGAAACTCAAGAGAGGAAAATACAATTTGTGACAGCTTTCATATTATACAATTAGATCCCTACAGTGCCAATCAGAATTGAAGCACCTCTCTCACTAGCCCATGTGCTGTCCCACCCAACTTTGTTTTAGGCAGTGTACTCTGCAGAGCTGAGGAGGCGTGGCTTGATAATGTGTGTAACTGGAATGTCCCTATTCCTCAGATGCATCAGCTGGCTGGAATGGAGAGCACAGCGCAGTACAAAGGCTCAGGATTGGACTCCCGCCTTACTGGGGATTATGAGGTCCAAGTTGCCACCCATCTGACCCTGGCTCAGCTGAGGGACTTTACTCAGGACATTTTCCGCAGTCTGCGGAACATGGCCCAGGTCTGAGGTGGGGGTGTCTCCTGAAGAGCTACCTCAGCTCCATAAATACTTATTACCAAACTTGTTTGGAAATTAGACTTGAATTAAGAAGAAGAAAATCAGCTCAACATGTTTTTTAACCCATGGAGGATGTTTTCCTGCTATATTTCCTTCATATCTTCTATGTTTTTGATATTGTACCGAATGATTGAAAATGTATATATTTGTTTTTACTTATTTATCTTTATTTATTTTGCATTTTTATTTATTGCATTTTATTTATATTCATCTTTGTTATGCTCACACTAAATGTAAACACACTAAATGTCAGTAGGATAAAATTGTTCCTAGCATTCTGTAAAATGGACAGTAACTGTCCTGTATTTTCATTCAGCAGATGCTTTTTATTCAAGGTGACTTAGAAAACTTGGCCCTTAAATGGCCACATGTTTTATTGAAACAGCTGAGACATTTTGAGAAGTCCTCCAGCAGACCACCCTCTGAAACTCCACCAGACAGCCTTCAGTCCATTTTCACCATGACATCATGCCTCCGGGTTTTTTGTATTATGCAATGTTTTGTTTACCCTCCATAATAATGACACATACAACTTCTGCTGGAGGAAGGTTACAGTAGTGCCCTAAGGGCAGAATTCTGACAGTCGGTAGTATCTACTAAGTCAGCCCACTGGGCTGATCTGTGAAATGTTTTCATTATGAAATCATTTAATGCATATAGTGTTGTGTACAAGATGTATTTAATTATTTATATACAAGTAGTATTGATTATTTTGTCTGTGCCTTCTTTATAAATAAATGACAAAAAGCCCAGAAATCTTGCCTCTATTGCTCAAAAGGGATTTTTTTTTTCTGTTATCAACCTGTGCACTTTGTCCTCGGTCTGTAAGGTCAATTGATTTCCTGCATTTAACTCAGTGAAACACAGAATTGTTCTGCCAAAGACTGACTTCTCAGTTCTTACAGTTTTACGAAGTCTGTACTCTATAATCTCATGATTTTTTTTTTGTTGCAACATTAACTACATTCATAATATGACCATTCAAAATACTACTTTTTTTGTGCATAAAGAGATGTTACATAACCAGTCAACTGCCCAGGGGAAGACTACCTAGAATGACATATCTGGGTCTCTTTGGCATGTCCCAAAATCAGGCAAAGTAATAGTTAAGATGGGTGACAAAAAATACTTTTTTACCTCTCATTTATACATGAATTTCTTAAGGATGTGAGAGAAGTATTTTTTTCCTGAAATGATCAGTTCACCACATTGCTGCATATGTAGGGAACTGAAATGTACAAATGTTTTGGTTTGATCTACATAAAAAAAGTGAAACCACATGTGACGTCAGCTGAAATAAAAGTCACATGTACACACTGTCATGTGATTACTCATGTAATGTTCACAAATGGAAACCTGACGCCCAGAGTACGGGGGTGGGAATCTCAATCCTCAGTACGTACATCTTGGCTATTCAGTGTTTCAGTACTATTGCATTTCATTTTTCCCCCCTCCACAGAGTATGATAAATATTCAGTAAATCAACAACTGACCATGGGCTCCATATTTACCAGCCCAAAATCCCCTGCCTCTGGTAAAACCAACAGTGAGGAAAAAGGAAACCTAAGTGATAGTCGCTGTGTGTGTTACACTGCCGAATATGACCATATAGATCCAGACAGCAACCAGACTGAAGACTAACTACTGAATTATTGTAAGAGTAAAAGTTTGATTTTAGTAACCAACTGTCACACCCATGGGGGCGGATCGGACAGGTGCAGGAGATCAGGGACTGATTACCTCCTCAATATAAGGACAGAGTCAATCGCAAACAAACCGCGAAGTATTGCGCTAATGAGAAGCCTTACTGAGCGTTATTCTGTCTTCCGTCTCCCTTTGCTCCCGTCCCTTGCCTGTCTACCTATTGTGAGATCCTTACCTCTTGTTCCTTACCTCCTTAGTCCAGCTCCCGTCCTCGACCCGCCAGTCCTTCCCCTGTCGTCCAGCCCGCCTGTTCCCCAGTCCTGTGTGTGCCTGTTGGACTGACCCATCGGCTTTCGACCCTCGCTCACGTCTTACGACCACGGCTACTGCTCGTTGCCGCTGGACCTGTTTGCCTGATCGCCGCCCCTAGAGAAGCCCCTCTGCCTCTCACCACCTCTCCGGTTACCCCGGTGGTGGTTCTCTCCATTCCTCGCTTCACGGGGCTGACCATTGCCTGTGACAACTTACCCTTTGGCTTATTAAAGCTCTGCTTTCCCCGTACTCCTGGATCCACCCGGTGTGACACCAATAAGGACAATATCCAAACACACTGCACAATTTCATATTTTAATAAAGTACAAAGAAAAGATTTAAATGTTTTTCTCCAAAGTGACTCTACAAACACTAAAAGACGCTTTTCCACTCTGGAATGTGGGAATGTGGATAAAACAAGCCACTGTACCACCACCTTATGAAGTTCTCATTATTTCAGAATAAATGTACATAGCACAGGGGAGTCCAAGGAAGAGTTAAATCCTGGGGTAGTGGCATAAGGAAAGCATCCATGGGTGATCCAGACTTGGGATGAGGGGGCCTACAAAGCTGCAATGGCCTTGGCTGCTACCCTCCTGCCCAGGGGCAGAGTGAGGTCTGTTATGGCGAGGACCACCTTGGGCTTGGCCAGGTCAGGAAGCTTCACCAGCTCAGACACCTGGGAACAGAGGGTACACACACACACACACACACACACACACACACACACACCCCAAGATACAGACGCACAGACAGAAAAACACATCAGGAACCAGCAGTCAGAGAGGATATACAGTAAAATTCAAATAAGCTTTGAACAACATTTTGGGAAGCTGGGGGGGGGGGGTCACCCTTCTACACAGGCTATATAGATCCGAAAGAAACTGTGATCACCGTAGTGATTACAGCTCATACAATATCGTACTGCCAAAAGGACAACGAACTCTGTCGATCTCATCAAAGCATATGACAGCTTTGGTGTAAGTAAGCACCAGATTTAAAGAATACCGATTACTAAACCACCAAGTTAGCCTCCCACTAATTAGTGCACTAATTCACTATTCTTCCTCTAGGGACAGGTGCCCTTATGCCCCCCTACTCCCTTCGCACTCTTACCATGGTGAAGGGCATGAACTGCAAGATGCTGCCCCGGCATCCTTGTTCCAGACACTCCACACACTCCTCCATGAAGCTCTGGACAAACTGGGTATGGGACCCTGCAGTCTTGGAGCCCAGGATGTTGGAGATCAGCAGGAAGAGGTTTGCTGCAGAGAGACAGCGGTCACACGAGTAAAACGCGCTGTCCGTTTCACACCGCCCCCCCCCCACGTCCCATGGACGCCCCGCTCCTACCCAGGACTCTGTTAAGGGGGTCCCGCATGTTGACAGTATGAAACTGCGAGGCAGACAAAGAGCTGCTCATGGACCGTTCACCTGCAAGGGTAAGGAGATTAGCCAGGGCAGTAACTGTGTGACAGGTCAAAATAAGACTATAAAACAGGGAAATGGCTTCTACTGTAAAACATCAAAGAAAGCACAGGACGGGGGAATGCCAAATATACAGCAATCATGTCCAATGGACGTCTAATTTTTACGCACGCCCGAGGGCCACACAATTTGGGAAAAAGTTAATCCACCTCAGCTTTCCGTAGTGAAGCAACGTGACATGCTGCAATGTCCTCCGCAGAGAACATTCCCCATTTAAAAACCAGGCACTTGAGCAGACTGGGAATGGATCCTCGTTGCGAGATCAGGCGGAAGTCCGTAGTTGAAAATGAGTCAGATATTACCTAACAGCCCTGGTGTAGTTATGTTCCCCAAAGTCCATACATACACACACACATATATACACATACACATACACACAAACATATTGTGTGTATATATAAATGTGTGTGTGTGAGTGTGTATTTACCGTGGTTAAGATCCTTTAAGAAAAAAGAAAAAAAGATTTGAAGAAGTGAATCTGTGACTTATTTCCTCTTCGACGCCACAAGACCAGTCACTTCACTAAAGCAACCTAGGAAAACTTGTGCTGCCCAAGCAAAATCACGTGAACGTACACCAAGCACAGACGGAGACAAGTGTCAGTGCAAAATGCCCACGTGTGTCATGCATCAGGTAACAACCGGTGTGTCCCAAGGGTCAGTCCCTGGTCCCCTCCTCTTATCCCTGTACCTCTCTAGCCGGATAATCTAATCAGACAGCTTTTCACACCACTACTAACTGATGCCATCCAACTGTACCTTAAACTATCTTCCTTCCAGTAGACACCACAGTCTCTGCTAGGATTTCTGCATTCCTCACCGACAGCCGCAATAAATGATCACCACCTACAGCAAATCCACGCCATCCGGCGATCCCTCCACCGAGGGGAAAATAAGCCTAGTTTTAGCTGTCCCTCGTGTGTGGACCTTCAATATTGGCATGAACTAGTCATCATATTCGGTAAGCAAAACCTTCAAGAAATGCTTCAAGACCCATCTTTTCTGAAAATACCTCAATTAACAATGACCTGTTCTGTCTTTACTGGTTATCCCTTGGTTATGGTCTCTTGGCTACACTGGATGTGCTTGTATTTTTGTTCTCCCTTGTCTAGTGGGAATGCAGCCATAGTGTTTTGATTTGTATAGCTCTTCCATGTTCTGGAACACAGTATATCTAATGCTAACTTGAATTTATTACTGGTTATTCATTGGAAGTACAGCCTAACTGCACTTACAGAAGTTAGTTGCATGACAGCTGTATGCTTGTGATGCATTATCTGCCGCACTTGTACGTCACCTTAGACAAAAGTGTCTGCTAGGTAAACAAGTATAAATGTAAATACTCTCCATTTAATGCTTCATTAGACTTGAGGGAGTTTCATTCCCTGAAGAGGGAACACAAAGTGACTGCATTCAAAGTGTCTGCATTCACCTGCGCTTCTCTGACCGAAACCGTGATTAATGAGCCTGGCCGCCAGGATTTGCCTTTGAGGGACATCATGAAGTGATCGTCAGGAGGGAGGGAGAGAGAAAGAGAGAGAGAGAGAGGTGGACGAGCATACCTGGGCTAGACAGGACGGATGGTTCATCTTCATTTGAGCTCAGCAATCTCATTAGCTTGGAGGGCTGGGTGTCGTCCAATGGGAAAAGGCTGCTGTAGTCCTGAGACCATGGGTAACAAGGGGACTACTTACAATTCTCAGAACTTCCTTTCTGGCAATGACAACTGCAGGCAGTTATCACTGAACTACAGCTGGAGAATGTTGAGGCTGATACTGCAAGCAGAATTAATAGCAGCCACACCATTTCACCTCACATAACCCGTTTCTGTATTTATATAATGATTATCCATTTTTACGCCAAAGACGAGATTCCACTGTTACAACATAAAGCTTATTGTTGACAAGAACAAATACCATGGCAAGTTAACCCATCGATATTCGCATACTGGCCATAAGAAATTAGATCAAACATGGTGACAGCAGATTTCCCACACTGAGATGACATCAGAGCTCCACAGTGCGCATGCCCCTCCCCCAAGGCTCTCACCTCTATGTCCTCCCGCTGTCGTTTGCGCTGCCGAGCTGAGATCTGCCCCTTGTGGTGGGAGGAGTATGAGCTGAGTGCACACCACACAGACAGCCTGCAGAGGGATGGCAACAGGGAGAACATGGGCTCCCAGAATGCAGTGCGCTCTCCAGAAAGAGAAGGCAAGTAACTCTGAAGTCAATTTGAAGTTAATGCATTTGCCTAGAAGATGTCTATTTCAAACAGCATATTTATTTCTGATTATCCATCTTCCATAATCTCTTAGTCAG